TATGAGCATCGAAGTTTAATTACTAAACCGAATTATAATGTATACAAACCACAGCTATGTATGCACTATTGTCCTTCCAATCCAGACCGGGACATATATACTTATATCTTCATTAGGTGTTTGATCGACTTCTTCTAGTCGTGTGCCTTGTTTTTTACAATTCATCACTTATTGTTTGACTTAAAGATGAAATGTCAACACAGGCACATAATATTTTTTTATTCACCCAGCTTATGACATTGTTTAAAGCTTTTTAATGTTCGATCATTACCATATTCTGCGTTAGCTTACTCATTAGGTGAAAACAATAAGTAAAGAATTGACAGTTGGACTATGGGTATTTTCTGACTACTTTTATTGTCATTCATCCGGGCGTTCATTATTTATATTTTTGACTACATTGTAAAGAGGTGTGTGGAGGGTTGGAGTGATGAAGATAACGTTTATCTCTTATTTACAAAGTATTCGGATAAAATACGCTTGATGAATTAAATGAAGATTTTATCAGTAAAATTAGTCTAGTTACTAAATCTATAAATTGCTACCAGATTGGTTGTCTGGTGGCTTGCTAATTCACGATTCGCATGAACAAAGACTCCTAATTTACACATATCAACTTCATATCTACAGTGGTAGATTAGCGAATCTAAAATAAGTTGACCATAAAATAATATACTTACAGAAAAAAACTATCCTAGATTGATAAATCATAAGTACTTTCTAAAAACATTTAAATTTACGGAGTCAATTATATTTTAAGAAGAAGGAAAGTTCAAATTACTTGTTTGCGTTTGTATGCCGAATGTAATCAGTATTTCGAAACGTCAGATGACCTGTGGGTTTTCATTTCTAAACATATTATCTAAAAATTACAGAGGTAACGAATTCTAAAAAGACGTGTGTGGTTGACTCTATGCAGTTTTCCATAGGGCAGTGTATTCACAATCTCAAGGTCGCCGAGATTACAAGTAGTTCAACTACGTTACAGATTGGGAAGAATTATTCCTTCATGTCGGCTACCGTGTGCTGACATTCGTCCTCGTACCTCTAATACGTTTCAGGGTTCATGAAAAGATGCTTACTTTTGTCTAACATTATGTGTTGGACTTAATTTCTCCTACAGATATTTTACTAGAACTGTAAACACGATAATGATGACCACAGAGTCTATGTGAAAGCTATAATCAGAACAAGTATTATTATTAAGTAAACTAACAAGTGTCTGCTTCTTTGTTCTTTGTAACAAACTTACTCTGGTTGCGTAATCTTGAAAAAAATTTTCTTCCATTTGAATCAGTTTATTTTCATTGGTTATCGCTTCAATTTCTGCTTTGCGTTCTTTCTTGGCTAGTACTCGTTTTACCATCTGTGTCGCATTTCATAATGAGTAAACATTAATGTATAATTAATTGATAACATTATTTTACTACTTACTTTGAAAATAAGTAGTGTGAGTTATTAATGCAGCGTGTTTATTCCAAAAAATTAAGTTTAAAATTTTTATTTTTATTAGTATTCTTGGTTTTTGAACAAAATATGCACGGATAATCTCAGTATAAAAAAATGATTTTTTTAATGAATTACTCAGACCAAGTGTTCAGTACTACGATTGGGAACTGAAATCGATGTTAAACATTCTTAGTAAACAAGCAATAGAAGTGTTCACGATTAAGCAGAGTTCATCTTTGGAAAAATAAGTTTAGTACAGCTGGTAATTAATTAGAAATCATCATGAAGCTAAAAATACGATAATCAACCTCAAAATAATAAACAATTGTAATTTGACTGAAATGACACATTGCCTAATGATTCACACCTGTCACTCCTAGTGGAACATCGGCCACCGACAAGGAATATCTAAACAAACTTGACCTGGTCTCTCCTTTCCTGTTGTTTCTAGGCACTATTCATTCTTCTGATGTCTGCTTCCAATTCTCTGCGCAATATGTTCTTCGGTTTTTCACTTTGCAATCTGCCTTCACGATTCCAAGTTGGCGCCTGCCTCGTGATGCAGTTTGATGATTTTCGAAATTTATGAGGTATCTACATCCAATGTCTTCCTAATTTCATCCTTATCTGGAAGCTGTTTTGTTCCTCCTCCTTCTTTGTTTTGAAGAATGTTGTGATGGTTCTGGATCCATGAGATTCCCATCCTTTAAGTGCTTCTTTGGACTGTATCGGTGCAACTCACTGAGTGTGCGGAGCATTTTCTTCTTCGTGACCAGAGTGCGGCAGCATCTCTCTCGTATCTAACCTTTTTTATTCAGCTTTGGCTCAATAAGTTTTACTGATTCCGAGAACCGCCAAGTTGTATCTACTTGTTTCCGTAACTATTTGACCAGTCGTTCCGATCTCCCACATTGTCCAAACATCCCAAGTATCTATATTAATTGCCGCTCTGTTTGTCAGAAGGGGGAATCGGCCTCGTGACGTCCGAAGAATCTCGGCTCTCACCATGAGACGTCATAATTCCTCTAAAAGAAGGCCCTTCAATTCCCAGAACAGAGTTTGAATGGTTTAAATGATTTCTTTCTGAATGGTGTTTTTTAGCAGGGCTGTTTTCTACGGGATGAGGTTGGTGACCCCATGCCCAAGCCTCCTCCTTTACCGGTGCTTGGGACCGTTAGCAACCTTATAAGACCTATAATCGGAGTTTATTTAGTTGAAATGCTTACTAAAATGATTAGCGAAATCAAATTTCAATAAGTCTTCGTGACGTCGAAAAAACATATCAAATGTGACATTGGAATCAAGATCATAATGAAACTCTGAGATACTATTCACAACACCATCAACTAACGGTGCAGTAGCAGTAGTGTTAGAAGTGCTTGGTTGCATGTTAGGCGTAAACTTTGCATCTGCTAAAATTTGCATTAGTTTTAGATGCTGCTCGAGCAATAATTCTACTTTTGAAGGATCCATGTTTGTGCCAGCTCCATCGCCAAATTTCCTAGGTTCGAAGCGGTTACGAGATCATTTAGACCGCGAGCGGAACAAAGACTTGCGACCAAAGACCAAATAACTAGCTATTCTATTGCGTTGCAGTCCCGCTAACTAGAAAAAGAAGTCAAAGTCCGAACGGGGAAGTATATTCCGCACAATGCCAGAAGCACGAGCGATCACAAAGGACATAGATCAAAGCGTAAATATACAGTACAAAACGGTCTTGGAGAAGCGTTACAAAATAGCATACTAAAAGACACAACGGATCAATAGCATTTAAGATTCTCTCAAGTGGGAAATACGACATGAAGGTGAAAAGAGCGCTTTTGGCACGAAAAGAAAGAAATTCAAATTTTGTAAATAGAATTACAAAATTAGGTCCTTTTCCCAGTGAGTTCTGGTGACCTAACGTCCCCAACACACCTCCTTTTTTTAATAGCGTACTTCCCTGGGGTCGACTGACTGTTGTTCTCCGCTATCGGAGAAGCCGCCTTCTGGATCGGAGATCAACTTGTCGTTGAGCCTTTTCTCGTGTTGGGGCTGCCGGTAATTTGAAGGTATCAAGCAGGATGTCAAGGGGAAAATTTACTCCTGTTGATGAGCGCTCTTAAGCTATCCTTTTGCGTATCTGATTCCGATGGCGTGACCATCTATCGCCTCCTACTTCTACTTCGTACATGACACGACCTACTCTTCTGACCACTCGCGCTTCTGTCCATGGACCATGGGTTGCTCTGTAGTCACGGCCAAACACAGGACATCCCACTTCGTACGCGGATTGTTTTTAAGCTTTTCCTGTACTGGTGTTGATGCATTAGGCTGTAGATGGATTTCAGTATTCTTCCCATTAGGATTTCTACTGGGGACGTTTGGTCCGGTACCGTCTCATTTGGTGTTGTTAAATAAACGAACAAGAAATTTTGTAACGCGTCGGCTGGTGTCCCCTCCCCTTTTGACTTATTCAATGCCCTTTTAAACGTATCCACAAACCTTTCTGCTTGCCAATTCGGCTGCGAGTGGTATGGTGGCGAATGTAAATGCTTGATGGCTAGCCGTTAACAAAAACCTTGGAATCGGCTAGAGGTAAATTGCGACCCGTTGTCAGATACAATCACATCTGATATGCCATTTCGGGAGAAAATTTCAGTGAGGAGCTGTATTGTTTTAGTTATCGTGGGCGGCATTACAAGGCTGATTTCTGACCATTTTGAAAAGGCATCGACCACAGCTAAATACATAGTTTCATTAATTGAACCCACGAAATCGACGTGTATCCTGGACCAAGAATGATCAGGTTGTGTCCATGGAATTGGCGGGACTTTGACATTCACCTTTGCCGCTTGTTGACACCGAATGTATTTTTCAACCAACTCAGTGTTATGTTGATCCATTAGGGGCCAGTATGTATAACTCCTGGCTATGGATTCCATTCGTCTAACTCCCGGATGACCAAGGTGAAACTGTTTCAGCACTTTTGCGCGAAGGGGTTCTGGCACGACCACACTTTCCCGAAACATCAAGCAGTCGTTTACAACGCTGATACAGCTGTATCATGTCACTGTAAGACTTCTTAGACGGCCAATCGTTGGTGACATAGCTCATCGCCATCTTGATCACGGGTTCGTTCCTGGAAGCGTTTCGTATATCTGTTGCAGACAACGGCAATGCCCGTATTGCGGTTGTCAGATAACATTCCGCGTGGTCTTCCGCTGACAGAGATGAGATTACTATGTTTTCCTCAGCTGCCAATTGATCATCAATGGGTCGTGATAAAGCATCTGCCTGATCGAATTATTGAGTGCGTCGGTACTGGTGACCCCATGCCCAAGCCTCCTCCTTTACCGGTGCTTGGGACCGTTAGCAACCTTATAAGACTTATAATCGGAGTTTATTTAGTTGAAATGCTTACTAAAATCAAATGTATAGAAACAAAACTTTAAGCGAGTTGATATAGATCAATCTTTTCAAAATTACACATGTATTTTAATTTCTCCCTCATAATTTGATTTTTATTCCCGTTTTTTCTAACAAATTAATTAATCTAATAAAACAATCAGGGATCAAGAGGAAAGAAGTTTGAGGATCGTTTTAATCGTTTGACCGAAGAGGAAAAAAGTAGAATGGCCATCGATCGTAAAGAGGAGAAATTCCAAGTGGAACAAAAAAAGAAAGCTGTCGATAAAGCGAAGCAGCAATTATATTACGAAACGGATCGTGTTCGATCATTACATGTAAATTCATAGTATAACGTAATAATCCTAATAATGATTATCGTAATATCAAAACTAAAATTCACGAGCGAAATTACGCAACTCTTAAAGTAAATGTGAGAACGTTTTACCAGATCCTAGTGATTATTTTTTAATAGAGAAAATAACAACATCTCGCGAGCGGGATTCGAACCCAGGGCCTTCGGTCTTACGCGCGAACGCTTAACCAACTGGACCACTGAGTCGGCACCCAATGGTTATAGTTTCTAACATCAATGAAAGTTGGTCGCGCAATTTCGTGGATTGGTTGATGTTAGAAACTATCACCATTGGATGCCGGCTCAGTGGTCTAGTTGGTTAAGCGTTCGCGCGCGAGACCGAAGGCCCTGGGTTCGAATCCCGCTCGCGGGATCGTGGATGCGCACTGCTGAGGAGTCCCACAATAGGACGAAACGGCCGTCCAGTGCTTCCAGGTTTTCAATTGTGATGGTCTAACATCAATTGGTTCAAGATCTCAATCAAAAACTTAATAATAACAACAAACAAAACATCCGTTTTTCGTTAACATTTCAACGTTCTTGTGATTTACATTCAAACAAAGCAAAGCTGTTGATGTTCACATATTAGGCTAAAATGTATTCCTCCACGAATGCCCTTATTTTGATGAAGAGAATTATTAAGTCATGTCTTTATTGCTTTTATGGACTAATCCCAATGATAATGCTAAACTTTAATTATAATCCTAACTAGCTGCATTTCTGTTATATTCATTATCTTTGTACTCGATAACAGAGGACAAGTGCCAGAATACAAATGTTCCTTAATGTAAATTTAAGTAATAGAATTAACCAGCGTATACGGTATCTTAAACAATCATAGTCTAGTAGGAGTGAGTGGACACAACTGGACTGAAATAATAGTAGTATTGGAAGAACACAAAAATTGAACCTATTTGTGATTGAATTAGATTTATGTTGACATTGGCACTTGGATTGGAGATAACACTGGAAATAAAATATCCAGCGATCGTATTGTTGTAAGATAAATCCAATACTGCATTAGACTGATCCAGTTTGTATTGTATTGAAACGAATTCAAGCTGTCCAGAATGTTAATCAGCCAGTATGCCTGAAGTGTTCATGCGTCAATATAATAGTGGAAAATGATTAATCTATAAACAGATAGATAGACAGATAGGCCTGTCTGGCAATGGATATTGGAGGGATTCATGTGTAAGGTATTCTAATTAATCACAACTGAGCACAAGTTAACCGATAAAGTTGCATTCAGCAGCCAGATGCTCAGTCAGATATCGTCCTCCAAAGTGAGTGTACAATATTTGCATTTAACGTGTCTCTATTAAATATCATCATTTCTTCATCATAAACTCAGAATGGTTTTGAAAAATAACCTGGCTTCCTGTTTTTACGTTAGTTGTTATATTTTCGTCAAAATTAGTATGCATGCGATCGACAGCGTAACCGCTTGTTTGAACCATTTACCATGATCTTGAAGTCACATTTTCTTATCTTACTTTCCTATCCCCATACTTTGGCCTAGCCATATTAGTGATTATCGGAAATTATTTGTAATCATCTCCGTACTTATTAATTTCATTGACTCATGTCGCACTATTTTTAAGATTTTGTTTTCCTGTGCCTATTTGTTGTTATGGCTTCGTTTTGTAGTCAGGCTTAAACCTAACAGAAACTTTGAAAGAACGTGATATGCAACTGAGATTTAAACATTTCAAAAATAAATCAGAAGTGAATAAAGGAAAAATATATCTCGAAACGATGCGGAAAAGTATTGAAGGAGGTAAATTTTAAAAACAATACATAAATAGAGTAAAAATATTTATATATTTATTTTTCATAGTTTATATAGCTGACTGATCTTCATTAGAACGTCACAGTGAACCAGGAAAACTAGACAGCTATTTCGTCCTAGTACGGCAGTGTGTTGCGGACCCATTAAAGAACTCAATGAGGATGTGACAATATACAAGGAAAGTAATAATATACCAAAACAGATATTGATACCATAAACCGGAATGCTTATATAAAGATAAAAACGATGGAACGATAACACTTGAAACAATGTTGTAAATTGAATGACAAAACAGTACCAACAGTTTTGTGATGAGTGTTACTTTTAAGCTCCTGAGTAACCACCACAAATAGATTCCACTCGATTATCAAATGCTCTTTTGCTCTAAGATGGTGGCTGGTGTTAGTCAACAGGAAATCCTGGATCCAGGTTTTGTGCTACTTGGCACTTGTCAGCAAGGTGTACTTGTAATCTTGAGGGAACTGGTGCTCCCTGACGGATTCGACCTCGTGTCACACAGCTTCACAGTCAAAGACATTATCACTGGGCTATCCAGGCCGCAACTGACCTCTTGTTGGAATGAGATGTAACTTGGTCGATAGGATTCGATCTGCACTAAGAAGGACCTGACATACATGACATTGATCACCCAGTGATCAATCGTAAATGCTCTTCTGCGTTTTGGCACAGACAGTTCAGAAAATAATATAAATATGATGGCCAATAGTTCCACGTTGTGTAGAGCGGTCTAAAAAGCATATTACAATTTTATAATCAAATGAGATAAAATGGAGCTGTTAACATTTTTAACTATACCTTTGCTTAACCACACTGAGAGGTACTCACGAGTCCGAATATACAAGTTCCTAGAACATTTACCAATATAACTTGCTCTACAGAAGCAGTTGAATTAATAGATACAGAAAGAAGTGGCTAGTCTAGGTAATTTATCTTTCAACCTTGGAGGGATTATTGGACATGTGGAAAACATTGATTGTAGTTTACCTACATTATAGAGCGGTGCGTCCAAGCACGATTTCCAGGTTTGTACACCGGTCTATTAGTGTGTTGGTCGTGTACATCTTTCTGGTGTTTATTGGGATTCCGTGTGTTAGCGTTTACTGTGCGGTACGCATCTGCGAGATGATTTTGAAGATTATGGATGTACGGTAATTGTTCATGATTTTTACACGGTAAATAGTATATATGTATCTCAACAGGTAGATAGATTCGTCCCCAAATTTTCTTAGTTTTGTTCCTCTGTAGTACAAAAGGAACGTGACTAAGACACTTCACTATAGAATCAAGACTATATGCTCTCTAGATACGGTCGAAGATGAAACCAAGGTATTATACACGACCCTGAAAGAAAATGGATATCCTGAGAGCATAAGGAATGCTTAACTTTGAGCAAATAACCTCTGTATATACGCTTACAATTCACAGGCGATGCACCAAATGAAACGCTGAAACTGAAGTTAAGCAGATCAATCCAAATAACTTTTAATGCAGGTAAACTACAATTAATGTTTTCCACATGTCCAATAATCCCTCCAAGGTTGAAAGATAAATTACCTAGACTAGCCACTTCTTTCTGTATCTATTAATTCAACTGCTTCTGTAGAGCAAGTTATATTGGCAAATGTTCTAGGAACTTGTATATTCGGGCTCGTGAGCACCTCTCAGTGTGGTTAAGTAAAGGTGTAGTTAAAACTGTTGACAACTCCATTTTAGCTCATTTAATTCAAACAGGATATATAGTCAACATGGAGCAATCTTTCACTTTTATCATGTTTCATCATAGTTCGTAACCAACAAAGTAGAAAAGTTAATGACGTTGGTAGTATTTATTCGAACAGTAAAAATAGGGTAGTTATCGACTAACCAATTAATTATGCTCGCTCATAAATGATACAAATAAATCATAGTTCCTGAATATACATGTGATCGCACGTAGAATGTATTTTTGTGGCTATAAAAATCATTAAATATACATTTCGCTATATGGGTATCAACGATCCCACCGGGGATCAAGTCTAGCGCCCTCGCTTTGGCGTGCAAGACCGTACGTCTCTGATGTTGCAGTTGTGGACGAGAAAGCTGTTCGTTTCTTCCTGGTTTTTAGTGGTGCTCTAAGATCAGTTTGTAGTCTGAAATATAAAAATTTAACAATCATGACGAAACTTTTATACTGTTACGTATCTATTATTTGACTTCGATAATATGTATAGTTCAATGTTCACCAGAGTATCTGGATTCCAGTGCCTAGCCCCAGTTCATCTATTCTATATAAATTGTTGACATAAATAGGATATCTAGATAATCCTCATAGAACAAACGCATATCCCAACGAAAACTAATTAACATTCAGTCAAGAATATAAACAGCGGGATCGCTTAAACATTTTCTACTAATGATGCTATTAGTGTAACTGTTGGAAAATTCGCTAAAATTGTGTAAGAAAATATGAGACGAGTTTAGTAGTATTTATAGTGTTCGGTATACTGAAGAAGTATATTTCTGGGATTGTTGTTTAAAAATAATGTTAGAATATACTGATATTCACCGCACATGGCAACAAAATATATGACTGTATGCTTGCTTAAATAATAATTCTTATTCAGTTAAAATCATTAAAGTAGTATTTTCACTCGATTCCGTTAAGTTGAGGTTGTCCCCAATGTTATCAATGTGGTACCCAGTACTTTTCGTTGTTCTTCTGTTTATTTAGTGAATGAGTGACGCATCTTTAAGTGTAACTCTTAATAAAGATTACCCTAACCTCAGTACTATTCGTTTTACTTATATGCATAATATATTGAAAAAGATATATTCAATCAGTGTTATAAAAAGGCATTATTTGACCCGACATTAAATATAGAGTTCATCTTCTTTCACTCTGAATGGTAAATAGTATTTGTTCATCAAACTTTTGTCAACGCTAGTGATTATACAAATACACGTTTATATGCGATAATTTATTAACACGGATAAACAAGTCTTCTAGAATGATAGATATAACTGACATCAACTAACATTATCCTTCATTACAGCTTTTCATTAGAGAAGTACAAATTTAAAAAGGATCACACATGTTACTGATAGCGTACATAGAAACTTTATCTACTTTACTGCCTGACGACATTAGGAGTTAGTCAATCAATCAATCAAATGCAACGTACAATCTGGGACATGTATACTTAGGTTCAAGTTACCATATCCCGTTAACACAGCAAGATAAGATCATCAAAATAAATCCCAGAGTGGTTGAGGCAGTATTAGTATTACTCGTAATGAAAAAGATGGAAGGCATGTAAGATGCAATTCGAAACGAAAACATAAAATAGTGAGACAAGAAATTCATGAGAAATTTAGAAAATTTGGGTTTAAGGGAAGATAAATAATAGATGTACCTGTGCCATAGCAAACAATTTTGGGTCATGTTACTCAAATTTCGAACCATTGGTTATGATAATCACGCGAACTTCAACCAGTTTATCTACACCTACCTGCATGGCTCAGTTAGTAGTCAATATCTTAACGGACAGTTGTTATGTCTTGGTTTCACTCCCCTAAGTTTTCTTCTAGCCCACTCCTACATCAGCTATCATCACTCCTTGAGGTATTCGGTGGATGGGCATACTTGATATATGTCCTAACCATCTTAGTCGATAAGGATTCACTACCTCATTAACCGATTGACCATACTTACCTAGTACTCTACATATAACCTCAGAATGGCGACTATATATAATGACTAAATGATGTATCGGGTGATAGTGAGTAGTAATTGTTTAACGAGCAAACATAATGACATATGGGAATGCTAAATATATGAGACTGCATCATACTATAAGTTCATCCTACTCGAAATTCACTCTATGCTGACTATTTGTGCCTTGTGTCAATAAACTAATGTTCTGGTCTATAAGTGATTCTTAATAATTATCACTTACTCAGTGTCCTGGTGGTTTGATAGATGGACAATAGAAAGTGACAAACTATCGTGTATTTAGAGAGCATTTAGTTAACAGGTCTTCTAGAAGGCTATAGAAAATATCTAACTTGCTGTTTTTCATTTTAAATTTAGACGCTAAACAGCAAAAAGTGATGATTACATAAGAATTCACTTTGAACTTAGCTATTCTCTCATATGTAACTTAAACTCTCAATATTGTTTTGTATCTATACTAAAATTATGTATGAACTAAAAATATGGAGCAGTTGTAACCTATTTCTCCAATTTTGAAGACAGTTATTTTTTTTTTCTAAGTGATTGTCTTCCCTTTCTCTTCGTCGTGTTCGTGGTAATACGGTTGAAGCGTTGTAGTTGTGTAGCAATAGTGGATATACGATCCATGTAATTAGGATATTTTTAATTCAAGTTACAATATACTAAATGAGAACACTGTAGGTTTTAAATTTTTTTGCTTAAAATTCACATGTAAAACGAAAGTTCACTAACGTTAGGAATAATCTACAATACAGTCAATACTGGCGATGTTTTGAGTAACTTCGTAGTACTAGTAGAGTGTATTGGTAGACTGGAATAAAGCTAGTGACAGCGTAACCAAGATGTGGTATTAATCCATTAAGTTATCAACTGATAGTCTGAGCCAAGTAAATGCGGTCCACATAATAAAAACTATCAGTAATTACAAACTTTTGATGACTTGGCTCACAGTCGTTTGCAATGGCACAAGTGCATTCACTCTTTATCTTCCTCTCGGTTCTGAAATCCACTATTTCATTGTATATACCTTTTCCTTTTGCCTTTCCGAACCATATTCTCAATGTTTAGTCTTTCTGAATGTTGTTGCTACCACGTTTTTGCAGTTTCTGTGCTCTTCATCTTGTTAATCTAATCTCATCGTGCTAATGTGGTAATCAATTTCGGCCAAATCACGTATGTCCCAGGCTCTATATCGATCTCGACTGACCGTGTATTTAAATGCCATTTAACGTCAGATAACGCAGGTAATGTATGGTCTAAAAGACCGATAAACCTAGGCAACATTCTTACCTGTTTCCTAACCTATTAATCAGAACTGGGAAAATCACCTAAGGACATTATTTATTGTTCCATTTTATTCAGGCATAAAAACTCATGATAATATACAGATATATTACATGACTGTAACATAATGTAACTAATAAATCCCACTGGTACAAGGCTGAGTAGCAGACTTATTATTAAATTACCGTAGTTTGTAATCGACAAAAGCTGCTTTATTAGCTAATAAATCAAGTAAATGCTTTCAGTGAAAAAAATATTGCAATACCGTAAACCAATTATTTAAGAAATTTGCAATGAGGAGTGACTATTGGAGTTCAGCTGTGTTAATGATGAAGATAATGAGAGATGATCACACAATATCGCAAATTGATTGAAGCTAGAGCCGTAAACTATAGGATTCTAACTCACTAGTCTAATTTTTTAGCTTTCTCTGCGATACCTGAAATGCCTGGGTTCGATACCTGGCGAGAACATGAATGAGCACTTCTAAGGAGTCCGATTATGGAAAGATCGGTTTCCTAGTATTTCCTGGTTTTTTATTGTTGTTTAACTTGAGTCCATTAATTGTCTGATTAACACTTAACAATTCCCACAATTCATCTTATTCTGAAAAATATACCTACTGGATCTTCAAAGAATAACTTTCCAAATTATATGTTTTCGCTCTATGGTAACAACGTTCTTTTATTTCTCAATAATATCTTTTATTCCCACAAATCTATTTCGCTACTGCAAATCTAAATACGCGGTTCCTAACGCTAAATGCTTCCGCTTTCTACTTAGCTATAAAGAAAGAACTAGATGAAGCTGAAAGAAGACATGAGAAAAATTTATTGAATGCTCAAGAATTAATAGCACAGTAAATGATTTTCATTGCTATTATTATTATTTGATATATAATATCTATTAATTCTTATCGAAGCTTCTGACTACACGATCACGTAATGCGTGAAATCTAGCAATCTAAAATGAGAAAATTTTCCGCAATACGGTAGCATTATTGCGAAAATATATGAGGTGAATTTGCAAACCTATCTACAGTGTTTATCATGTCAGTATTCGATCAAAGCAAGGTACTTCCTGAAGTTGACATGTTAAGGTTACTTACAGTACCATATGTAACAATTGACAGGTGTTTCGAAATTATGCCAGTAAACAACATTGAGTCGAGAACGAATGGTATCAAAATGTAAACGTATTGCAATAAAACAAACTTTTAACGAGTATGGTAAAATTGATAATAATTGTCGCTAGTATTACTAATATACAGTTACATTATAAATATGTTGAATGTTACCTGTTTACATGAATACATTGTAATCCCACACAAAACCAGATTGGAGCTGCACATTATATGCTAAGAGTTATTATTATTGAACTGACTACTGAATATTAGTTAGACGGGCCAATATACAAACGTTCTGAGTTTTGTTCCTCTGTAGTACAAAAGGAACGTGACTAAGACACTTCACTATAGAATCAAGACTATATGCTCTCTAGATACGGTCGAAGATGAAACCAAGGTATTATACACGACCCTGAAAGAAAATGGATATCCTGAGAGCATAAGGAATGCTTAACTTTGAGCAAATAACCTCTGTATATACGCTTACAATTCACAGGCGATGCACCAAATGAAACGCTGAAACTGAAGTTAAGCAGATCAATCCAAATAACTTTTAATGCAGGTAAACTACAATTAATGTTTTCCACATGTCCAATAATCCCTCCAAGGTTGAAAGATAAATTACCTAGACTAGCCACTTCTTTCTGTATCTATTAATTCAACTGCTTCTGTAGAGCAAGTTATATTGGCAAATGTTCTAGGAACTTGTATATTCGGGCTCGTGAGCACCTCTCAGTGTGGTTAAGTAAAGGTGTAGTTAAAACTGTTGACAACTCCATTTTAGCTCATTTAATTCAAACAGGATATATAGTCAACATGGAGCATTCTTTTGCAGTAATATGTCGTGTTTACAGCAGTCTACCTAATTACGTCAGACTGAGAATCCTTCAAACGGCTGAAGCAATTGCTATTCGGATCAAAAAGCCAGAGCTTTGAATCCGAAAGAAATATGTTCAGCCACTCCTTTTAACCTGGCCAACTTCGGGCCAAATTAGTTAATAATCAATTTCATTTCGCTTATAAACTGATTCAAGTTAACACATCATATTAGTCAACCCCAAGATTAACGATTTGATTTGATTTTATATAACAAACAATCCTTTATTCAAAAACATGAATTTTATGGATTATTAATTTGGATTTATAATTGTAGAAATTATTGAAAAGCATATTCTTCTTAATAAGAACTTTCATCTAAATTTGATCGATTAGTTTCACAGTATTTGGGCGCCGAGTTAATGTGAGACACTAAAGAGTAAGAATGCATCTATATATATGTTTCCTTGAAAAAACTTGGACCAGATTGCTAGGCGAAACGTTTGATTCACTTCAAATTAACGGAATACACCCATTATGACATGAAATAAGAAAGATTAGTTCAGTGAAGAGTTCTCTTTTCGGCGAATTCATTTTCAAGGCTGTACAATCGCAAATATATATACTTATTTTTACAGGGTGATAATAATACTGATAATAAACTTCTGTTATACATAGTGACAGTGAGGTTAAATAAACAAAGGTACTAGAAAAAAAATTTTAAAACAAGGAAAGTTTAATAATCGTTTGATAGTTAAAGGCTTAAGTATTCATCGTGTGAGGATGGCTCAGCATGATAAAATAAAATGTTGAAACAGAGATTAAATGTAATCGGAGTGATCGTGGAAATAAAAACAAACCGGTTGGGGATAGAAGATTTGAAGGGAATATGGAAGGTGAAGCAGGTGGCTGTGAGGGAACAAGAGTATGAAGAAAGAGAAAAATTCTAATACATTAAGATCATGGTAGAAGAAAAGGTTGTACCAGTCTCTTTTGTACACATAATTCTGGTTTTTCAAAATGTATGGCTATCGCCTCGTCAATGCAAAGAAGATCCAGTCTAATTGTCTTGGGAGGGCTTCTACTTACCTTGTAGATGACTTTGAACGCAGAGTCTGTCTTGATTGAGTGACCTGTGTTCACAAGGTGTTCGATTATAAAAATTCTAATTGAACCGTTGCCTCCTCTTTTTAGCCACGCCGGACAATGTTCCTGAATTCTTTTGGATAAAGTACGCATCGAAAGACCTATATACCTAGCTCCACTAGAGCAGGTAAATTGGTAAATGCACATTGAGTTGGTCAGATGCGATAATTTATCTTTCAGATTATTGGTGAACAGTGATCGGCTGGAGAATAATATTCGCAATGTTGCTGCGAAGAATGTTCTTTTTAAAGAATCCGAAATTCTCCTTCTTAAAATATATGCGGCTCTATCACCTTTGAAGTCGATGCTTATGTATAAAATTTTCTTTTCTACTGTAATTGTTTGTGGTTTTGGCATTTTCGGCTTCATGTTCTTATCAATGAATATAGAAGGATATCGGTTTTTGATAAGTATCTCTTTTAAAAGCCTCAATTCTTCCTCTACGACCTCGGGGCTACAAATTCTTCGTATTCTTGTGGCGAGAGTTATTATTAAGTTTCTTTTTCGGTTGATGGGGACCCAATTGTGGAAATTTGATAGTTGGCCATTCCACATGGGTTTCCTGTAGATAGATCTTTTTATCGTACCATCTTGTTTTCTTGTCATATCTACATCAAGAAAGTGAATATTTTGTTTGCTTTCAACTTCAAGTGTGAATTTTATTGATGGGTGACAATTATTAAATGTCTTTAGATGATATCCGAAAAGCTGTGGAAACAGCAGTGATATCTGCTAGTAAGGTAAACCAGAAGGTTAGGGAGCAACACTGGATCTCAGCAGCATCTATCGCACTGATAGATGCTCGGAAACTCATTCCACCTGGCTCTGAACATAGTGAAGAGCGGAGTCAGCTTAAGCGCAAGCTGACAAGAAGTCTACGCAATGATCGCGAACAGTGGTGGGTAGCGAAAGCAAGAGAGATGGAAAAGGCAGCGGTAATAGGTAATAGCAGACAATTGTTCAGACTCGTTATGGAAACCGGAATTAGGAACCCGACCGTTAGCGAAACAATCTCAGAGAAAGATGGACATATTATTCATTCCCAATCCAGGAGATTGGATCGATGGGCAGAACACTTCAGGGATCAGTTCAACTGGCCTTCAGCCACACTTCGGTTTCCCACGATCTCTAGTCAACGTGAATGGCAAGTTAATGTAAGTCCTCCAACCCTTTACGAAGTTGAAAAAGCCATAGGAAATCTGAAACGAGGGAGAGCAGCAGGCCCTGACAGGTTTAATCCTGAGATTTTTAAGGATGGTGGTCCAGTATTAGCAATGAGATTAACCGAGGTCTTAGGTAGAATTTGGGAACTGGACGTAATCCCATCTGACTGGTCTCAATCACTGATTGTGCCAGTCTATAAGAAAGGACAAAAGTCCTCTTGTGACAATCATAGAGGAATCAGTTTGACTAATATAGTGTCTAAAATATTAGCCTCAATAATACTTCGACGCCTAATCAAAGCTCGTGAAGAGCAGACTAGAGAAAACCAGGCCGGTTTTCGACCCGGACGTGGTTGTATAGATCAGATATTCACACTACGTCAGGTTCTAGAACAAAGACACATTCAGACGCCCCACAATGGTAGTATTTCTCAACCTTAAGGCGGCATTCGACTTTGTTGATCGTGAGGTTCTATGGAAGTGCTTGTCACTGAAAGGAGTACCAAATAAGTACATTAACCTTATTCAGGCTCTCTACTTGAACACAACTGGTAGAGTGGGAGCTTATGGCGAACTGTCATCAGAATTGATTACATCAAGTGGTGTTCGTCAGGGCTGTCCACTCTCTCCATTCTTGTTCAACTTTGTGGTCGACGTACTTTTAGAGATGACACTCTCCTCATCTAAATTTCCAGGGGTTGAACTTCTACCGGAAGGTTCACTTGTTGACTTAGAATATGCTGATGACATCGTTTTATTTGGTGAAGACGCTGACAAAATGCAGAGTCTTCTGACCACTCTAAGCAACAATGCAAGCATGTTCGGGATGCGATTCTCTCCCTCGATATGCAAAATTTTGCTTCAGGATTGGGTTACATCGACACCCGAACTAGTGATAAGGAGTGAAGTAGTTGAGTGTGTCGACCGCTTCACTTATCTTGGAAGTCTCATCAGCCCTTGTGGTCTGGTGTGTGACGAAATCTCAGCACGGATACAGAAGGCTCGACTAGCTTTTGCTAACTTGCGTCATTTATGGCGTAGGCGAGATATCAGTCTATCAACCAAAGGACGTGTTTACTGCGCAGCAGTACGTCCCGTCCTACTTTATGGCAGTGAAGCATGGCCGGTAAGAGTAGAGGATATTCGTAGGTTACTAGTATTCGATCATAGGTGTCTTCGAAACATTGCTCGTGTATGCTGGGACCATCGAGTAAGTAACACAGTTGTTCGGAAACGGGTACTAGGTAAGGATGGCAGTTCAATTGATGAAGTAGTGAAACTTCATCAGTTGAGATGGCTGGGACACGTGTTACGTATGCCCAATGACCGACTGCCTCGACGTACGATGTTCAGTGGTATAGGAGTAGGTTGGAAGAAAGCTAGGGGCGGCCAGACCAAAACATGGCACAAGTCCATGAAGTCACTGACAAGTGGTCTGAGTCATGTTGATAGGTGTAGACTACCTGGTTGGGGACCGCGAGATGATAACAACCGATGGTTAGTGACCCTGAATGACATGGCTCAAAATCGTTTGCAATGGCGCAGGTGCATCCACTCTTTGTGTTCTCCCAAATTGTAATCTTCTGAATTCTTCATGTCCTTTTTTTCCTCTTTCCAAATTTATTTCACTGAATTATACTCTTTAAATAACATCTCCAAACCCTAATCTTCCCGATCACTGCTTACACTCTTGCTACCTCTACCACTACGGGATTTGGATCGACAACTGCATCTCTGTGTTAAGGTGGTGTGGCAACTCGAACTGATGTACGTACGTACGAAGTTCTACGTTGTTACTGACTGACTGACATTTGTTATCACAAATGATAAAAATATCATCCACATACCTTTTATACATGTTGAGGTTTTCTATAGTTCTTTTGAGTTGGTTGTTTTCTAAACTGGCCATGAAGCAATCTTCCAGTAATGGATCAAGTGGGGATCCCATTGCTATACCATTCTTCTGTCTATGATTTACATCTTTGAATGTGAACTGTACATTGCAAGTGCAACGTAGTAATAGTTCCTTCAAATGAATCTCAGGCATCCAAATGTTTATCTCACTATTATTTATGTACTTACAGATAAAATTAATGGTCTCTGTGAGTGGAACATTAGTGAATAATGATTCCACATCCAGAGATAGCATAATTAGGTCACTTACATTCACTTCTTTTATGTGCTCGATAAATTCAAAAGTATCGCGTACGGAATGCTTACAAATGAGTTTTGCGATTGTACAGCCTTGAAAATGAATTCGCCGAAAAGAGAACTCTTCGCTAAACTAATATTTTTTTCTTATTACTTCAAATTCTTTCGCTGAGATTTTACAAATACATTCTTCCTGTTTAAAGAATATTCTTCGTTCATATAATTGTGTATTAGTTAGTAGTATAATATATATATATATATATATATATATATATATATATATATATATATATATATATATATATATATATATATATATATACGAAGGACTGACCATAGTTGTTTTGCTCTACCTAAAAACTCTTCGTCTGTTCAAGAACATAGCCTCTTCAGGGATAGAAATCAAAACCATTTAAATCTTCTGGTAAGTATGATATGATTTAGTCTCTTGATCAAAATACAATGATGATGAGTTTTATTTAAACTTACACTATCAACTAATGCTCCTTTTTTTCCTTAACAAAATAACAACAAGGCATCATTTTTCATTCCCTAAGGTAGGTAGTTGTCTCTTGACACGGTTGAACTCTACTGGTTATAGCTTTTCATCATAAACTCCAGGAACCTCATCTCATGATGGAAGGTCCTGAGTTCATTTAATTGACGCGCGGTCGTACGTGTGCACTATCAAAGAGATCAATATCAGGCTGAGACAGCTGTCCACTGATTCCTGGTTTCCAATGGTTGTTTCGCTAACATCAGTTCGTGATTTAAACTATGAGAATTATGCAGTTTTTATCCTGTATTAACCCTTTTTTGTTAATGTTGGTCATTATTTTATTCACAAGAATAAAAGAACATGATGAACAGAAAAAACGTCGTAAAGAACAAATATTAGCTGAAGGCGAAGCGTTAAGAAAGAATGCAATAATTGATTTATTAGAACATGAGAAGCTCGATCAATTCTATCGTGATCAGATGAGAAAACTTGCAAAGGAATTTCAAGATCAAATTAATGGTCATATACAAATGAAAGAGATTGAAAAATTATGTGATGAAGTGCGAAAATTCTATTGATCAATTGTTTAACTTTTTCACTAAATTTTGAATATATTACTTATAAATACATAATCTAGGTATAGTCCGTACTGCAAAATCAAAAATGTAAGGAGATAAGTAGTTCATAACCAGTGTCTTAAAGTAATCGGTAATGGGTTTTAATTGTAGTGATAGCATCAACGTTAGGACCCATGCACATTCCATTGGTAAATCGTGGATAAGATGATGATCACACTTCTCTAATAGCGTGTATATTTAATTTAGAACATAGAACTTATTTGCATAATTAAATAAAATCTGAAGTTTGTGCTGATGATGTCGCTCAGAAGAACAATGAAGGCTCCACGACCAAACCATCCAGCTCAGAGAACAAAACTCAAAAAAAATCAAACTCCTTATCTCTTGTAGAAGTAGGTTGAAAGCTTGTGTAGATTAAACTGAGACATGGAATCACTTAATGAAGTCATTAACCGTTGGTCTAAGCCTTGTAGGTAGGTTAAGAATAACATGATTAGTGTCAGCATGGCTATATTAATGATTGGAAAAAAACTAAGTGATATGATTTGGAATCGGGGTAGATGTATTCAGTCATCGTCTTTCCTTCAGTTTTTAGTTTTGAAATCATCCTACACTTTTTATCTAATCAATGTATTCTTTGTTTTTCAATAATATAATCTATCTCTGACACTTTTTACTACAACTGTGGTATCTGCTACCTATGCTAACAGATAGTAGTATGTAGTACCAATCGAAAGTGTAATACCTGGGAGCAGAAGATCGTAATGAAGAGAGCAGGGGAAAAATATGAAAGCAAACGAAAAAAAAAACAATTATAGAAACGATAGAGTATGTAAAGGAAGACGCAAAAATGTGCAAGTGATGTATTTAATGTATAAATTCCATATTTTACCAATCCCCCGTGTGACTTTGCATCAGACAATAAATTGGTTTTCCTCATCTGAGTTTTTGTTCACTACACAGCCGCTACTATTGATAATGTTACTACTTTTACTGCCCTAATATCTATTTATCTCACCTGTCTTCCTACTATCAACTTGTACTTTTACCTATTATGTGTAGTGACTTATTCTATTTCATTGTGATTATTGACTCATATTGCCTTGATTGGTTTAAAATTTTCGTATAAATATTCATGTATATTAGAGTAAAGCCTGATGACGATCTAATTGAAAACAATTGTTCGCTTATATGTGTTGTTCTAATTTTCACAATGGGAATCTTTACTATTCTGATCAGCACGTTATGAACAAGAACTTCTGTTATCACGTTAAATTTGTCGTTTTAGTTAACAAGCTTCTCATAGTAAAAAAGATATAGAGACTAACAGAAGTGATTTGCAAGAACAATGTAATGCATACCCAATAAAGAGTTATCAATGATAGTCGAATAGTTTTAAGAAGACGAGGAAATATAAGATAATGTGAAAAATGATGACTCATATTACTTGGCGCCTCAAAGTACTGATTTCTTATTTATTTATTTAAACACATAAACATCGGTACAAGGATGCACCAAATAGATATGCGCCACATAAGTCATTCAATTTATGTGAGATCTGGGATACTGCTTGGGTGCCCAAACTGAAGCAGAGTACTGATTTCTAGTAAATCGTAAACCGTAATGGAAATCGTTTTTGAATTTTGAAGTCACCGAGATCAAAAATGCATAGGTTTACTGGTCAGTTCTATTACTAAACTGTGTAAAGAAGCAATCTATTTATAAATTTTGAGTCTAGGAGTATAAACTGTCAAAGGTATACTCCCCAAGCATTTATACAAAATTTTTTATACTTTACGTTACGAAATTGTGCTTTCATTCTAGCAGTTTATTCACCAATGAATAAAGTGGTGCGTAATAAACTACTTCAGCCTGAACTAACGAGTCTATTTATAACGACTTTACTGTAAATAAAAAAAATTTTTTGTACTAAACTATGAAGCATGGTCGCATTCTTTTACCGGGTGGTCGTCAAAACTCCTTACCCTGAGATTTAGACACTAAGTGTAGATATTTAAAATCGACTGGAAGCTGGTTCATTTCATGACACTTAAGCTAGGTTCACTTAGTTTTGGATAATTTAATTCCTCCCATGAATTGGTTAAGGTACATACTATTTCCTCATTTAATTTTATGAAAATTAACATTTTCCTACAGGAAAATTCTTTTTATAAAATGTTCCTCATCTTTAACAAAGTCGAGGACATTTATCTGTTATCTTTTAATATATTGCCTCTTAATCTATTCCCCAAACTATTACGAATGTCTCTCCACACACAAATAGAATAAGTCTGTTTTTTTCTTATGCATAGATTTTTGAACTGAGGTTTATTTTTTTTTGTTGGTATTATTTGGTAGCTATGATAGTGAATAGCAGTTTATCTATATTCATTATTCCAAAAGGTTAACGTTAAGAGTATTTCGCTTATTTAGTATCGATATACCACTCATTTACTTCACCCTAATTAAGACTTATTATATTTAGCTATTGTCTCTTTATCAAGTTTACTGCTATATTCAGTAAAACACATTATTACCTCAAATTTACATGGAACGAAGAATACGCGTTTCTTTAGGGCTGAAAACATAATCTGATAATACGGACGAAACAGCTACGTAAAACCTAGTTCGGAACTTAAATTTTATCTATAATTTTTTTTCGATTTACCAAGATAAATATTCTCGATAGTAGGCTATAATACTTTCATACATATCTATACCAACCACTTCAACAAATGTATAATCGAAGAGTGAATCTTCCATATTTTATCTTTTCTCATTTCCAATTTTGTGTTTGTTTTTCACATTACATGTAAACGAAAATCAAAGGAAATTGAAGAACAATGTCGATTGTTTGCAGCAGCTAAGATCAAATTGACAAAAATGCGTATCATGAAGGAACGTGATATGTTTCAGTATGTGAATTCACACACTTCAAATTGCACTGAATTTATCATTAACCTGAATGCTTGTTATTTAATCATTATAAGTAGCTATTAAATAGTAGTAAGTAATTAGGAGTTGAAATATCGTCTATTTGTCATATATTAAAATTAAACTGGAGGAACCACTGATAATCAGGAGGCACTGAGCAACTTTTTCGATCTAGTTGTGGCTGTATATCACTTTTGCTCTACAACTGGGTTGGAAATGTAGACCATTAGATTCTAACCAATAACAATTTAAGTGATGAGCTCATCAATAGACTTGAAAGCTTCATGTTCAGTTTTTGGGGGGAATCGAAAGTCCAGATCTGTTAATAATTATACAGCGATCGATTATGATATACATAATCAGAAAACACGTCAGTCATTTAAGGTTTAGATTGGCATGGATTTATTGAACTGATAATGATAATAATTGTCTAGACTGGCACTAAAGTGTCCATTTATTCAATAATTCAATTTAGAAGAGTAAATCTAAAATCTTCAAAATGTCTCCCACTCCGTAAAAAATCACAGTAAATACCTCTTTTTTCATAAATAATAGACAAAAAGAAGCCGAACTACAAAAAATACAAGAATATTTATCAGAACAATTGAAAAATGCACAAACCAATGAAGAAGCACGTTTAAACAAAGCAACAACAGAAAAAGAAGAAAAATACCAACGAGATACAAAAGAAAAATATGATAAACAACTGAAAATTATCCAAGAAATCAATGAATATAGAGTGGATGAAATAGAAAGACGTAGAAAACGATTAGAAGACGAGAAACAAATAGAATTAAGTGAAATACGTGGAAGGATAGCAGCTGAATTGGCATTAACTGAATATGAAAATGCATGTAAGACAAAAAAACTTGAAGAACGAAAGCAATTATCACGACAGTTACTGCAGGAATCAGTAAGTTTGATTGTTGAACATGAGTTGATTATACAGTTAAATATAAGAGTCATTTCTTGCAGACACCCATTATAGTATACATAAAGCACCCGATCGACATTTAGAAGGTTATTTGTGCACTTTCTATTTCAGCATTTAATCAACTTTTGTCAGGACATAGGTTTCTTAAGAGAATGCATAGATATTGCCTGTATTTACAGTGTGAACACTAAGGTGTTGGTAAATGCTTATGATGAGCCCTAAATTGGTTAAAATGTACCTTTACTAATATATAATCACAGACTGTTCCATTTAACGGTCCATTTTTCTTATAGAATCGTACCTGTTTTATTGATATGTTGGGTAACAATTTTAGAAAGTTCAAAAACGAAGTACTTATATTACTATATATCATTGGGTTTCATATTTATATTTAAATTGAATAAAATATGCATTGAATATAAGTTTGATTATAAAATCTGGAACTGAGAAATATCAAACTCAGTTCAAATTGGTTCACAAGAAATATAAGATTGGACAATCTAGAAATCCAACGTATTTCTGGTGCTACCCTATGTGAATAAAAGATTAGTGTTTCATTCAAACATGGTTAATATGAGTTTTAGTTAATTCAATTATGGCTAGCTATAAAATCCAAGTCGATTCATCCTGTCTGAAACTCGTCAGATGGTTGACATATGAGTATAGTATAGCAAGGTTATAAATAAATTCAACAGACGAAGTAAAATGTTGCAAATACAGCATTGATAATAAACAAAAAATCAGAGGGTTAGAAATACGGAGCTTAAACAAGCGATTGACAAAAAGAAAGACATGTTTCTCTTTCTTGACATTGTCATACAACTGAGAGTAGACGGAACAGTTCAATGTTCGATTTATCGAAAAAGTGATTGTTATGATCTTTACTTTAATTTCAATAGTTTTTTCCTAGTCAGTTTCAAGAAAGTATCGGCGACAACACTATAGAGTAGGAAGGATATATACCACCGAAAAACTGGGAGAAGAATTGATAAATGCTGCAAAATGCCTAGGAGACAACTGCAGCTCACAGAAATTTCTTGACTACATATGAGGATTTATTAACACTACAATATAAATCCACAACAGATAGAACCATTGATTCGAAAACTACTTGTCAAGACTCTGAATTATGGGTGAATTATCTGGTCAGTTGGGAAGTGTGAATATATTGAGCTAGTTGGCAACTGATTTAGGGTAATCAAATAACTAGATGCAGGTGTATAATTTACAACAACAATATATTAAACTGCATTAATTAATAAAATTATTGAGTCGTATATATGCTTCTTCGCTAACACTAATGCCCTATTCACTGAGCTGTTTGTTATGACTTATGGCCGCTCACTAATATCACATGACGAAACCACCAATTAGAATATGTATTTCTATGACTTTCTCTGAGTTAATCAATGATACGCCAACCAGCATTGGTAGCCTCGAATCACTGATAAACACTTATTGGCTGTGAGTAGGGGATACTGTGAATTGAAAACTACTTTAAATAACGCGATCACTGAACATCTCTTCGATGCGGAACATCAGGTTGATACTTGGAAATCTTCCAAGGTGACCAATGAATAGCCAAGATCAGAACTTCTGACGTTTGCTGAGGTCATTGCTATCAGGTCTCGGAAACCTGATTTAGGTGTTTAAAAGTGGATGACCGTTAGTTGTTATTTGCTTTTATGACTCGTTTATTCATTACATTAAATTATTTCCAACTCTTAATTAGTCACATCATTACGTCATTTCATTTTGACTGCCCTCTAGACTGATGACTTTAATCTAGCTAACTGGGCTTTACTCAGAGTTTCTTGATTACTTGTTTCTACCCCTTCGGTCTTTTTGTTACCATCAGTGTTGTAAAATGTTCTTCCACATTAAATATATATTTGCAACATCTTACTTAGTGTATTAAATTTATTTATACTCTTGCTATATTACGCTGATTTGTGCTCATATCAACCTCCAATTGAACTCCTTTATGTAGGTAATTTGAGCCGATTATGTGATTATGACTCGTAAGTATTACAGGTTGTAAGGAGCTGTTGAGAACCGTAAAAAATGAAATGAATTCATGTTATTCTTCCCAAATCTTTATTGTCCTTTTTTATCAATATGATAAAAGGAACTATGTGTATGAGATTGTTAACTAATTCGACCAGAAATTAGTCATGTTAAATAAATGGTTGAACATATTTCTTCCGGATGTAATTCTTGACCAAACATTCATTCTGATTTCGAATTACATGATTATCTCCCGCCCCAAGTTACACATATTTATTCTGATCATTAACCTCACACCTTCCTTTAATGTATAAACTTATTCATGTTAACATAGCATATAAGTCACCCCAACACTAAAAATTTCATTTGATTTTATAAATAGTTCTAAATTCACATGCTGTGGTTTTAAATGATGGGTTAGACTTAAATCTGGTCATATTTTGAACTAACAATTTGAATAGATAACTGTAGAGTTCTTGAGTTTTCCAGTTATCATCGATTCAAAAGCCAGCTCAAAGAAATCGTAAGTGATAATAATACCAACGATGGTGAAAATAGTAAACTAGGAGCACATAGTTCGAAAACAAAACAAGATAAAACGTGGATCTTAACTAGTACATCCAATTTTCAGTCACATCAGCACAATAGACTTTTTTCAACAAAAAATCACGATTTTCTTGCGAATATCAACCGGAAATTTGTAATTCCTAACAAAACTTATTCAAAATGTCAGTAACATTATGGAGCATCATTATATAATACTTCACTGAAACCGTACCTGAAGCCCTTCTAACGTTACTGTTAGACCCAAGCACAGGTAAAGGAGGAGGGTCGGGCATGGGGTCACCAACCTCATCCCGTAGAAAACAACCCTGCTAAAAAACACCATTCAGAAAGAAATCATTTAGACCATTCAAATTCTGTCCTGGGATTTTAAGGACCTTCATTTAGAAGAATTATGACACCTCATGGTGAGAGCCGAGATTCTTCGGAAGTCACGAGGCCGATTCTGTTGGGAACGTTAGGTCCCCAGAACTCACTGGGAAAAGGACTTAATTTTGTAATTTTATTTAGGAAATTTGAATTTCTTTTCATGCCAAAAGCGCTCTTTTCACCTTCATGTCGTATTTCCCACTTGAGAGAATCTTAAACGCTATTGATCCGTTGTGTCTTTTAGTATGCTATTTTGTAACGCTTAGAATGGCCATCAGACAAATCAAGAGAGGGAAAGCAGAAGGACCCGACAACATACCAGCTGAAGCACTGAAGTCAAACATCGAAGTAACTACAAACATGCTTTACCTTCTATTCGAAAAGATTTGGGAGGATGAACAAGTGCCGATGGACTGGAAAGAAGGACACCTCATGAAGACTCCAAAGAAAGGAGATCTGAGCAAATGTGAAAACTACAGAGGCATTACACTGCTGTCAATACCAGGGAAAATCTTTAACAGAGTGTTGCTGAACTGGATGAAAGACACCGAAGACGTCCAACTTCGAGATCAACAGGCTGGATTCCGTAAGGATCGGTCGTGTACAGACTAAATTGCGACACTACAGATCATCGTCGAACAATCAGTTGAGTGGAACTCGTCACTGTACATCAACTTCATTGATTATGAAAAAGCATTTGACAGTGTGGATTGGAGGATGTTATGGAAACTTCTTGGACACTACGGAGTTCCTGAGAAAATTGTCAACACTATCCGGAACTCATACGACGGCTTACAGTGCAAGGTCGTGCATGGAGGACAGCTGACAGACGCATTTCAAGTAAGGACCGGAGTCAGACAAGGCTGTCTACTCTCCCCCTCTTTCTTCTGGTGGTCGATCGGATTATGAAGACCTCGACATCTAAGGTAAAACACGGAATACAATGGACAGCTCAGAACTAATTAGACGATTTGGACTTCGTAGATGACCTAGCCCTTCTATCCCATACACACGAACAAATGCAGATAAAGACAGCCAGTGTAGCAGCAGTCTCTGCATCAGTAGGCCTCAACACACACAAGGAGAAAACCAAGGTTCTCAAGTACAACACGGTGAACAGAAATCCAATCTCTCTTGATGGCGAAACTCTGGAAGATGTGAAATCCTTCACATACCTGTAAAGCATCATCGATTAACAAGGAGGTTCAGATGCAGACGTAAAGGCAAGGATTGGCGAAGCAAGGACAGCATTCCTACAATTGAAGAACATATGGAACTCAAAACAACTTTTAACCAATACCAAAGTCGGAATCTTCAATACGAACGTCAAGGCAGTTCTACTGTACGGAGCTAGAACTTGGAGAACGACTACAACCACCGTCAAGAAGGTACAAGTATTTATAAATGGTTGTCTATGCAAGATACTCGACATCCATTAGCCGGATACCTTCAGCAACAGCCTACTGTGGGAGAGGACAAACCAGCTTTCAGATGAAGAATTAGGAAAAGACGATGCAAATGGATAAGAAATACACTACGCAAATCGTCAAACTGCATCACGAGAGAAGCCCAAACTTGGAGTCGTCAGGGGAAACAGAAAAGTGGAAGGCCAAAGAACACATTACGTCGGGAAATAAAAGCAGATATAAGAAGGATGAATGACAACTGGAAAGGATTGCCCAGGATAGGGTTGGATGGCGAATGCTGGTGAACAACCTATGTTCCTTCACGAGGAGTAACAGGCGTAAGTAAAGTAAGTTTGTAACGCTTCGCAAGGACGGTTTTGTACTTTGATCTGTGTCTTTTGTGATCGCTCGTGCTTCTGGCATTGTGCGGAATATACTTCCCCGTTCGGACTTTGACTTCTTTTTCTAGTTAGCGGGACTGCGACGCAATAGAATAGCTAGTTATTTGGTCTTTGGTCGCAAGTCTTTGTTCCGCTCGCGGTCTAAATGATCTCGTAACCGCTTCGAACCTAGGAAATTTGGCGATGGAGCTGGCACAAACATGGATCCTTCAAAAGTAGAATTATTGCTCGA